TAGGCACTGTGCAAACAGACAACAAAGAAGGTTCCTGCTCAAGAGCTTAAAATCTGAAGGTAATCTTCAAATTGGGTTTGGTCAAGATTTCCTCACTATTTCCAAACTGTTGTACAGTCAGATGTAGTTGAGTGATTTATTCGGATTTCCAGGCCCTACAAGCTTCAAAACGGTAACCCATCCAAGCTGCAGGAAAGGTGACGTACATACACAGAAACCTATACTGACATGTGTTAAGAAAAGTGTTAGACCAGCGCAGCAACTTTCCTTCTTAAGCAAAACAGCTTTTGTTTTGTTCTGCAAAAATGCCTGTGCAACTCTCCTTCTTTGAAACAAACACCAGATGTGTTTTGCCATGGTTCTGGATCTCGTTCTGACTTCTTAGCAGCTAAGAAATTGCTTTTCTGAAAGAGTATGTTTAAGTAGTTAATCCATTAAGGTCTGCAAGGTAATCTTGGAGAAAAAAAATAATTGAAGGAACAAGGCCTTACAATATTCAGTATTTCAATTTAGCCATTTATTTATCTTGAGGGTGCAGGGATACGAGGTGCTCTGTGTGTAAATTAGATTCTGGGAGATGTAGGTTTCTTCAAATGCAGACTTGCTAAAAGACAGAAGTTTAAGGAAACTCCACTTTCTTACCACCCTGTAGTGTTCCACCCTCAGGTAACTACTCGGAGACGGTGCCGGGAGCTCTGCCATGTCAATGCCTGGCACAGAGTGTGCCACAAGTTCAAAACGTTTTGCTAGTTCTGTAAATTCATAAGGCGCCTCTGCCTCATGGTCATTCTTTTTTCAATAGTTGTACCTTTGCCTTGACAATGAAGGATAAAAATGAAATCTGATAAAAGCAACTCCGGACTCAAACACACCAGCATCCGACCCAGTAGTTGTCATCTCTACCAAGACCTCCGACAGTCTAAGGAAGGATGCTTGGAACAGCAATAATCCTCTTCCTGCTAAGCAGAGGAGGGGCTTGCATAGGATGCTGAACTGCCCAGCTCCTGTTCTTTCCAAGGAGCTTTGGCTTCTTGACTTCAATATCGTGAAGGTCTTAAATGAACTTGAACCCTATTGTCCCTGATGTAGCCAGTGTGCCATAAAGTACCGGTGCGATCCCCCTCATGGTTGCCTTTGCTTGGTTTCTAGTTGGTCCTTTCTGCTGTCTGCGAGAAATCACCTTCGGTTCCTATTGGGGCTGTAGGTGGATGTCTGGCATCTGCTGAAAGAAACGACTGGGTTTATTTTTTTCTTTTGCTGTTAAGCAACACAAACAGTTCTGCGGAAAATAGAAGGCAAAACAAAACTATGAGATAAAAACAAGAAGTAAGGCATAATATTAATGTTTTGATTAGAGGTAGCTTGCTGTAATGGTGTAGGTCAGGAGCTGGGAGCCATTAGCAAAGGGGAGGGAAGAGGAATCCAGATCCCAGAATGGGATTTTTCAACAACTGCCCAGGTAGGAAGAAATCAGAAGCCAGCAAAGTGTTTCTGCCTTTGTCAACTCCAGAAAGCCAGAGAGAATCACTCCCTGTGGATACTATGGAAATATTAATTAGTATTTAGCATTCTGTTAATTTTACATGAGAACTAGCATAGCACTAGGTCCCCCTCGTGAGTTAGTGAAGGGCTAGTGCAAGCGCTGAGGGTGACAGCCAGGATCAAAGGAATAGAGAGGTAGAAGAAATGGCAATACGACTGAGATGGGAAGTGTAGGAGGTAATTCAAGGCTTAACAGGAGCATGAAGGAAAGTGGATTAAAAAGCCAGAAGCCTATAGGAGGGATGTGTGCATGGAGAGAAGGAGGTGTTGGATGGGCAGAGCAGAATAGCACTTGCAGTGGAGTCGTTCGAGGTCTTGAGGTATGTTTGAATGTGGTTTTATGGTATGAAAAATGCTATGACAGGGTCAGGCGCATATATCGACTGTCCCACAGCAACTCACCGTGTGCTTTTAGCCCTCTGCAAATGCAAAGTGACGTGAGCATACACTGCAGGGAAAGATATTTAAGCTAAATTTTATCTTGTATTTGCAAGGAACAAGTTTAATGCAAATGTTGGTTACCACAGCCCGACTGTTAGTCATAGTTTATTATGTGGCATCTCAGCCTTCTTCTAATCTCCAGCCTACAATCCGTGGGAAGGATGCTCAGCAAACTCTACAGATTATGTTGCCAACCTGTTGTATCGTCACGCAGTTACGTTGCGTTTGGGGGGGACTGACCCAGCTCCAGTCCGTGTTGGCTCAGGGGTCTTTATGCTGGTCCTCACTGCACGACGCGTATATGTTGAATGTGAATTAATGATGAAGGGAATAGTGTGGAAAGAGAAGCTCCCTTGAAATAACCTTATTACCTAGAGGCTGTTTAAACCCTAGAGAACAGCGTATAGCAAAATAGATAATGTGTTTGAAGCACGATTATGGGTGATGGGTTTGTTTTCGCTGGGAAAGAGAGAAATTATGAGATGAGATAAAAGGTTTTCTCATTCCTGAAAGGATTAATAGTCAGGGCAAGCTTTCCAACCTAAGCATCCCCTGCTGTGGATGGAAAGCGATAATGTACGGTAGAAAAGGTGAATTCCTCAATGACAGAATTTTAGGCTGGAAAAACAGGATATTGGCAATGTTTGAATGGTCATAATGAAGATAAACCTATCCCCATTCAGACATCCTTCATGCACTGTTTATTAGTAGTATAGTATTGGTCTAAAGTGTATTCTGAAATACAGGGAACTAGAAGGAGGTAAAGAAGGGTGGTTCAGGGGTGACTGTCTCATACAGGGAGTAACCGACATCTTAAATTATTAAGGGTTGTAACTGAAGCAGAGAATTCCAGAGCTATCTAGGCTGGCTGCTGGAGAAGGAAGACCCTGACTTGTGTCCAGGAAAGAGATAGACCAAAACCCCGAAATGGTACAGTAGGTGTTAATCTTTTCTTTTCTTCTTTTTAGTTTTGTGTGTGTTTGGTGGCGGTTTGTGGATTTGCGGGTTTTTTTTAATTAAAATCTCTGCAGGAGCTGTGTCCTGTGCTGGCTCTAACCTGTAAGGAAAAAGGCGTTTGACCTCCCGTAAATAGACTTGAGGTACTCATTTAGTAATGTAAAGCTAAGAGACTGTGCAAGGGAGTACAGTGGATGTGAAGGTAACTGAATCAGGACCTCTGGTGGCAAGCAAGCAAATGGGAGTTTGGTGATTTTATTTATGTCTGCAGATTGAAATAACTGGTATTCTCTGATCAGGAAATCCTCTGGACTTTGGTTAGTAGGGAGGCATTTCAATGTGTGATTGAAATTCTTTAACAGGTTTGCACAGAACTATGTCTGCCTTTGCCATGCTCAGCTCCAGCCAGTTTTATTAATGCACTGGTGGGTCTCTCTTAATTTATTAACATTTTAGCCATTTATGTGAGCTAGAGTTGTCCATTTTGGTCCACGGGCAACAGGCACTTAGTACTGAAAGACTTCTACATGCATTGAAAAGCTTTTGTGGGCTTTACCCCCAAATCAAATCGCAGTTTCAGTACCTTGGCACTCCTGCTCATGTGCACACATGTTTGAAGAATGGCCAGGTAACCCCCGAAAGGCAGACAGAGATTTTGGGAAATGCCTGTGACCCCTAATCGGTCTGGTCCCTGGATCTCTGTAGGGTACAGGAGGGAATCCCAAAGCTTTTCTGTAGAGAAGCGCGTATTTGTGTGTCAGTAGTTTCCAACGTGTAAACTCCCTGTAAGAAGATGTCCAGTGGCAATGTATAGGCTCCTCAGTAGTAGATTTAACCCTGCAGATGGTAGACCTGTTTCTCCATTTACTCTTCACAGGCCCTTTAGAAGTAGTCTGTGGGATTTCCTCTGGGAATCTCAAGCCAGGGACGGAGGTCACTGCTCTTGATGTGCTGTAGAGTCAGAGAAAGGAGAGAGACTCCTGCAGCAGGCGATTCAGAAGGCAGTTAGACCGATTGCCATCTGGAAGAGAAGGGAAGGAGAAGAAATTTCCTTTGGGAGAAACCAAACATTGGAGGAGAAAGCAGATTAAATGGAGTCCTGAAACAGGTAGGAAACTTGCACTTTGATCTGTCTCTCATTCTTGCACAGTTGCTCTTATATCTTTCTGACTCTTCTGAGTTCATGCCAAGATCATAAAAAACAGGTAATGCCACGTTCCACGCTGTGGAGCTCTATGGAGATGGAGCAGACTGAGTGTAACAGAGGGAATAAATCCTGAGGGACAAAGATGAAAGTAGATTTGCTTGAGAGAGGAATCTTCAAACACGAGGTGCGTCTATCTGTCACACTTGCAGAATTCTTAACAAGTCATCACAGAGCAGCACACAGTCCTGCCACGGTCCTAGATGTGCAATGCAGTGGAAATGTTCCACTCAGAAATCTTCATTGTCCTGTAATAAATTTAAACAATCAACTCCATTTCATTGGTAGCACAACTAGCTTTATGGTATCTCCAGCCAGTGCAAAGGACATCTCAAGAACTTGGTGTAGGCCTGCTG